AGGTTAATTCAGGTGTGGACGTGAAGAGATATCATTAAATGGAGCATTTTTCTCCCAAATATCTCATTGCCTTTGATGTCACATGGATTTAACTGAGGTTTCTTGCATTCTTTGCGAATGAGACTATATAGGAATGTTCTTTGTCAATTATAAACTGCTATAAATGTTTGTTGATTGCTTGATTTGGAGGGAATCGCTCATCTGTGTTCATTGCAGCCTGGTTAAATCTGTCAACAAATACTGAGAACAGAGTGGGTGCAAAGCCTGTGTTCTGGCTTATGTTTGTATCTATTAAAGAATAAACATAGTCCTTGCCCTCAGCTCCCAGCTTCCACTCGAAGTTGTGTAAACAGGCAGTATGGCCCTCCAGAAGTGCAACATTTTCCCCCCGAGGAAAAATTAATTTGTTTATTTAATATTCTTCTTTTCAATTTAATTTGATTTTTTAAATTGACAAATAATTGTACATATTCATGGGGTACATAGTGATTATTGGATACATATAATGTATAGCGATCAGATCAGGGTAATTAACATATCCCATCTTCTCAAATATTGTTTGTGTTGGGAACATTCAGTATACTCTTGCTAGCTATTTGACACTATATATTATTATTAATGATAGTCATCCTACAGTGATATGGAACACTAGGACTTATTCCTCCTATCTAGCTATGCTTTTATATCCTTTAACAAATTTAATGCTAGTGCTTTCTATGATTTCAGGCAGGGTGGTCATGGTTACAATATTGTCATTGTGATTGCAAGGTGAAATAAATTTTTGTCTTGTTTTGGAATCATCTCACTGGTTTATCTAGGATGCTTTTTTGCTATATTCTATATACCAGTGTAACACCCTATGCAGAATCCTGACACATAATGTGGAGAGGTTGTACCTGTCCCCAAAGATTTGATGTGCTAAAGGAGAAATACCAAAAGTAAAAGAAAGCTTTTGATGTTGATTTAATTTCTTTTGTAACTTAGAGGCTAGTTTTCCTCTTGTTGGGGCCCAGAACACGATATCCCAAAATACGGTACCTTGGCAGTTGAGAGAACTGCAGAAGCAAGAAGGCCACTCTAACCTCCTCCCACCTTTGTCCCCTGAAGCATGGTCATAAAGTAATTCTCTGATCTATCTCACTTAAAAGTAGGTTATGGAAGTCCCCCATTCCAAGGGGGTCCTGCCCTAACACACAGGCCTTGCTAAATCCCCAAACCCCACTTACTACCATTAGGTCATACTTTTACACGACTGTCCATTCTTCGTTGAACCTAAGCATAAAAACACAGGTTCCCTGGGACTTTGGGTCTGCATTTTTGAAGGCTCTTATGTCACATAAAACTTTGGTTAAATAAATTTGTTATGATTTTCTCTTGTTAATCTGTCTTTTGTTATAGGGGTATCAGCCATAAACCGTGCCATGAATGAGGAAGAGATATTATTTTCTCCGCTGTACTCTGTTACTCAAGAGTACTTAATTTAAAGAAATGACAGCTGACATTTTCTACTTTTTCAAAGACTTATTCTTAAGTATTTGAATCCAGCCACATATTTGTTCTACTTGCTGTCGCAGAGGCTAAGGTTTTATGAGGCAGAACTTGAAGGATTCTTTTTGGCCAGCATTTGAATCATACCTGTGCCTTTGGTCTGTAATATATACATGTAAAAAAGGACATTTCTTTTATGCTACGATACTTGTCCATAAGTACTTCCTCACCACACATATGGCTCTCTGGTAGCAACTTGATAGCTCTGCCAGTTTCTTTTCAGTGTGTTGGGCTTGCCATTTAATCATTTGGGTCTAAGTTACTGTGTCTGGAGGGCTGGGTTACATCATTTCTATTTGGTTCCCGTCCATGACAGGTCAGTGTTCACCCTTTCGGGGGGGGAAAATGGCAATGGTTGCAGTTGCTGTGGGAAGGGAAGTGTGTGGTGGTGCAGGGAAGGAGAGCCTGCTGGCTGCCACCCAGGTGGGCTTCAAGGTGGCATTCCCATTGAGGGCTTTACCATTGTCTTCCTTTTGGTCCTCAAAGAGGGGGTCAGAAGCTCACGATTCTCCACTTCTTAAATGGATGACTCACTTGGCAAAGGGACACCCTTTAACAAAGCTCACAAGAGCTTTTGTTTAAAGCTAGAGCACTGGTTTATTAATTTACTTCCAGAATCATATCTGTCAACAGGCCAAACAGTTGTGTTGACTGGACCAGCACCCTCTCTCCCTACCGTTGGCAGGCTAAGAAAGGAGCCAAGTTCTGTGTGCCTCTCTGTGAGAACGGAATTAGAACAAAGGGAAGTAGTTGCATCATGCCAATGTTTAATAGAACCCAGCTCCTATAGCCTGATGCATCCACTTCCAGAATTGGATGTGGGGGAGTGTGTTTTTAAGTACATAGATACTGTCAGGTATGCTCGGTAATCGTCTCTGGAATATATCTCCGGTCTTGGCCCCTCCAGCCTGTTATGACAGCTGCTATTTCTGACCATCCACCTTCAGATGGACACAGTCTTTAGTTGATGAATATCAAGTTCCCATTATGGGTTTTAGGTCACAGACTTCCAGGTGACTTTGTATAGCTCCGCTCTGATCTATTAATCTCAGAATTTAACTTGCTGGGAAGGCTTACTTCTTTCCTTTCCAGTTCATGTATGGTGGGGAGGGTTCTTTATTTTTGCACTCAGGTCTGACTGGGTTAAAGTTTCTCCAGGTCACAGTTTGAATAGCTTTTAGAATATAAAATTTAAGCTCTTTGTCTTGAGTTTCTATTTATGGAAGAAAACAAGAACTGGAAGAAAAAATTACGGCAGATATTTGATAGCCTCTTTCACTTAAGACCACTGACGTGGAAGATGTAACTATCCTGAAAACAGCTGAGCTTCTCAGAGTAGGCAAACAAGGTGTCTGGGATGAGATGCGGAAGTCAGTGTCATCTAGTCTTTGCACTGTGGGATGCGTACTCTGAGTGGCAGGGTAGGTCTGCTGCAAATTGATGATGACCTGGGTGATTAATCAGGGGCAGCTTCATGGACATGGCGGGGCCTGAGCTGGTCAGTGATCAAGGTAATACAGGGCTGTGGGAGAGTTCACCAAGGTGTGTGCAGGGAACCTTGGACAAGCTTTGACAGCATTGCTCTGTCGATATTTTTCTTTTATAAGTATGTCGTCTTTGCTAAGTTGCAAACCCAAAAGGTTGGTTGATTTGAAGAAGAAAATGTCTGTGTTTACCAGGCATCTATTTATTTATTATTTTATTTTGTATACTATTTTTTATGCTACAACATTTTGCATTGTTTCGTTCAACTGTGACTCTTCAGAGAAATTTGTGTTACCGTAGTTCCCCTCGTGGAAGCTCCCTGTGGCCCTCTTCCAGATTTCGCGTTTGCCCTTTAGGTGAAACCTAGCTCTTTTCACCAGGGTTCATTCAAAAGAAAGAATTAGGCTCTAAGCCCTACTCCTTTTGTGTGTAAAGACTTGTTTGTAAGATGATTTAACCCTGATAACCTTCAGTATGGCTTTCTTCAAATTATACTTAAGAAATTATTCTCCTACTATCTCTCAGTTTTGTTTGTTTGATCGCTGTTGCCCAGAGTTTTCATTAGTCTGGAAAGAGAGGCTGGCCTGCTGGAGTGGAGGAAGGCAGCCCCTTGCTGGGAGCCTGCACATGTGGATTCTGGCCCCGCTGTTAATTAGCTGCATGACCCGTGGGCAAGTCAGCCTCCCTGGGTCTCTCTGTTTCTTCATCAGTAAAACAAAGGGCTTGGAAAAATAAATACAGGCCTGGACCGAATGATAAGAAAGGTCACCCCTTGCTACATTGTGTGATTCTGTGAATGGCAGCACATTTCAGTGGGGACCCCACAACACCTCTGTTCACTCTGGGGGTTGAGAGGTGGTCTGGGGTCGGTGTTACACTGAAGCACGCCAACTAGGCAAGTCTGGGAGCCCTCCTGAGTGCATTTCTCCCTCCTGCCCCCATCCTCTGTTCCTCTCTCCCTTCTCCCCGCCCCCACCTTCCTTCCCTTCCCCTCTCCTTGCTTGTCTGTTTACGAGTAACTTCCTCGCCTTCTGCTTTCCTCTCTTAGTGCATTAGCAAAGGTGTGATGGGTTAACACAACCCACTAAGAGTTGTTACTGTTTGGGGTTGTCCAGCTATGTCATCTGAGTTGCTAGTGGGGGGAGAGAGCTAAAGGAGGCTAGCTTCATGATGGAAATAATGGTGCTTTTGTCTGTCTCTTGTTGTGGAGATGGTTTCATGTTTCATCTTAGGCCTGGGCCATTGTGGTGTTTTCACAAGCTCAAAACAACCCTGCTTAAAAATACAGTTCATTATTTAAAGGATTTGGCCATAATGCCATAGGCCTATTCTGCTCACCTTCCCGCTCCCAACACCCCAAGGTCATAACTATATATAGTAAAAACCCATTGCAGTGTGTGCTGTTTAATCAGCTCCCTTGATCAGGGTTAAAATGTGTTCCCACTGTATTTATTTTGCAACTGTTTATAAGATATGCTTCATTTCATAACCTTCCAAAATGTTTTTCTTGTAGTTGTATAATTAGTAACACCTGTAAAACATTGCCTTTGACCACATAGCTTCCTTCTTAACCATTATCTTTTTGATTCTGTGTTTTAGTATTTTCTTCTTTTGATGAACTAAGATCAGGAGACAGTATTTCTGTGCCAAATCTCTTACAGTACTGTACCCAGGTTTAGCCTCATAACCTTAATTAGATGTGGAATGCCAAGAATGCACTATTATGTTTTTTTAACTTTTACAACAAGACAGTGAATTTCTGATTACTTCATTGTAAGTTACAAAACATTCCTCATGTGTTTAGCATTCAGTTTCCCATCACAGTTTATTCACAGAAAATTAATGTAAAACTCAAGGTACCTTCATAATATCCTGAGCAATCTGCTTTAATACCAGTTACTTCTTATGTCAATATGCAAGTTATTACGCAAGAACCTTTAATTGCTCTTCTCTCCTTTTCTCTTTAGAAACAAAAGAGTGTTGAAAATGTTAAAGGCTGTGCTGAAGAAGAGCCGAGAGGGAGGAAAGGGAAGCAAGAAGGAAACAGGTATGTGTAGGAGAATGAGCTGACTCACTCCAGGCTGGGTAGGTTCACTGCTTTGGGAATAGGTCAGAGAGGGTGACCTGGTTAGAACAAACAGCAGACTGGAGGCTATGAGAAATGAAAAAAAATATATATATTCAAAATATTAAGAGAGTATAAATAAACTCATTGTATAATGCTGAAGTCAGGGGTTTTGGTGTGCCTGTCACCAGGATAGTGTTCATTGTACCCAATAGGTAAGTTTTTATCCCTCATCTCCCTTCCTTCCACCCCTCCTTCTTGGTTTCCAATGTCCTTTACATCTTTTTATGACTGTGTGTGCCCATGATTTAGCTCCCACTTCTTAGTGAGAACATGTGATTGTTTCTCTATTTCTGAAATACTTAGGATAATGGTCTCCAGTTCCATCCAAGCTGCTGTAACAGACATCATTTCATTCCTTTTCATGGCTGAGTAGTACTCCGTGAGATATATATACACCACATTTTCTTTACCCACTCATCCATTGATAGGCACTTAGGTTGATTCCGTATCTTTGCAGTTGTGAATTGTGCTGCAGTAAACGTTTGAATGCAGGTGTATTTTTGATCAAATGATTTCTTTTCCTTTGGGTAGATACCCAGTAGTGGGATTGCTGGATCAAATGGTAGGTCTAATTTTAGTTCTTTGAGGAATCTCTATACTGTTTTCCAGAGGTTATACTAATTTGCAGTTCCACCAACGGTGTATGAACGTTCCTTTCTCTCTGGATCTGTGCCAGCATCTATTATTTTTTGACTTTTTTAATAATGGCCATTCTGACAGGTGTAAAGTGTTATCTCACTGTGGTTTTAATTTGCATTTCCCTGATGATTACTGATGTTAAACATTTTTTCATATGTTGCCCATTTGTCTATCTTCTTTTGAAAAACTTCCGTTCATGTCTTTTGCCCACGTTTTTTTTTTTTTTGAGACAGAGTTTTGCTCTTTCGTGCAGTGGTGTCATCGTATATCACTGCAACCTCAAACTCCTGGGCTCAAGCGATTCTCCTGCCTCAGCCTCCTGAGTACCTGCAACTACAGGCATGCGCCACCATGCCTGGCTGATTTTTCTGTTTTTTGTAGAGATGAGGTCTCACTCTTGCTCAGGCTGGTCTCAATCTTCCCGTCTTGGCCTCCCAGAGTTCTAGCATTACAGAATTGAGCCTCACTGTTCCTGACCCTTTTGCCTACTTTTTGAAAGGGTTGTTTGTTTTTTTCTTGCTGACTTCTTTGTACATTCTGGATATTAGTCCTTTGTCAGATGTATAGTTTGTGAATATTTTCTCCCATTCTGTAGGTTATCTATTCACTCTGCTAATTATTTCCTTTGCTGTGCAGAATCTCTTTAATTAAGTCCCATTTATTTATTTCTGTTGCTGCTGTATTTGCCTTTGGGATCTTAGTTATAAATTCTTTTCCTACACCTATGTCTAGAAGAGTTTTTCCTATGTTTTCTTCTAGAATTTTTACGGGTTCATGACTTGCATATAAGTCTTTAATCCACCTTCAATTAATTTTTTTATATGGTGATAGATAGGGGTCCTATTTCATTCATCTGCATGTGGCTATCCAGTTTTCCCAGCACCATGTATTGAATAGGGTATCATTTCTCCAGTGTATGTTGTTGTCTGCTTTGTCGAAGAACAGTTGGTTGTATCTATATGGTTTTATTTCTGGGTTCTCTATTCTGTTCCATTGGTCAATGTCTCCATTTTTATACCAGTACCATGCTGTTTGGGTTATTATAACCTTGTAGTATAATTTGAAGTCAGGTAATGTGATGACTCCAGATTTGTTCTTTTTTTTAAGATTGCTTTGGCTATTCTGGCTCTTTTTCTGGTTACAAATGAAGGTTGGGATTATTTTTTCTAGGTCTTTGAAATATAATGTGGTATTTCGAAGGGAATTGCATTGAATCTGTAAATCACTTTGGTCAGTATGGACATTTTAACGATGTTGATTTTGCTATTCTATGAGCATGGGATGTTTTTTCATATGTGTCATCTACGATTTCTTTCATCAGTGTTTTGTAGTTCTCCTTGTAGCTATCTTTCACCTCCTTGGTTAAGTATATTCCTAAGTATTTTATTTTCTTTGTTGCTATCGTAAATGGTATTGAGTCCTTGATTTGACTCTCAGCTTGTCTGTTATTAGTATATAGAAGTGCTACTGATTTGTGTACATTGATTTAGTAATGTGAGCTTTTGCTGAATTTATTAATTCTAGAAATCTTTTTGTGGAGTGTTTAGGGTTTTCTAGATACAAGATCATATCATTAGCAGACAGGGATAGTTTGACATCCTCTTTCCTGATTTGGATGCCCTTTTTTCTTTCTCTTGCCCGACTACTCTGGCTTGGGCTTCCACTACTATGGTGAATAGAAGTGGTGACAGTGGGCACCCTTGTCTTGTTCCAATTCTTAGAGGGACTGCTTTCAACTTTTCCCCGTTCAGTATGATGTTGGCCATGGGTTTGTCATATATGGCTTTTAGAATTTTGAGGTATGTTCCTTTATGCCTAGTTTATGGAGGGTTGTTATTGTCATGAAAGAGTGCTGGATTTTATTGAATGCTTTTTCTGCATCTGTTGAGATGATCATATGGTCTTTGTTTTTGTGATGAATCACATTTATTGATTTGTATATGTTGAACAATACTTGCATCCCTAGGATGAAACCCACTTGATTGTGGTGAATTATCTTTTTGATGTGCTGTTGAATTTGGCTTGCTAGGATTTTGTTGAGGATTTTCTCATCTTTGTTCATAAGGGATATTAATCTGTAGTTTTCTTTTTTTGTTGTGTCCTTTCCTGGCTTTGGTATCAAGGTGATACTGGCTTCACAGAATGAGTTAGGGAGGATTCTCTCTTTCTTGATGTTATGGAATAATTTCTGTAGAACAGGTACCTGTTCTTTGTAGGTCTGGTAGAATTCGGCTATGAATCCTTCTGGTCTAGGGCTTTTTTTGTTGGGAGATTTTTTATTGCTGCCTCAGTCTTGCTGCTAGTTTTTGGTCTGTTCAGGGTTTCTGTTTCTTCCTGATTCAGGCTCGGGAGGTTGTGTGTTTCCAGGAATTTATTCATATCCACTAGATTTTCTAGTTTGTGTGCATAGTGGTTTTTGTAGTATTCACAGGTGATATTTTGTATTTCTGTGAGATCAGTTGTAATGTCTCCTTTTTCATTTCTAATTGAGCTTATTTGAGTCCTTTCTCTTCTGTTTCTGGTTAATCTGGCTAGTTGTCCATTGATTTTATTTTTTTGAAGAACCAACTTTTTGTTTCATTGATCGGTTGTATTTTTTTTGGTTTCCAATTCGTTTAGTTCTGCTTTGAGCTTTATTCTTTTCTTCTACTGGCTTTGGGTTTGGTTTATTCTTCTTTTTCTAGTTCCTTGATATGTGACATTAGGTTGTTAATTTGTGATCTTTTTGATGTAAGTATTTAAAGCTATGAACTTTCTCCTTCACACTGCTTTTTCCGTATCCTGTAGATTTTTGAAAGCTTGTGTCCCCTTTGTCATTCAGTTCGAAGAATCTTTCGAATTCCCTCTTAATTTCATAATTGACCCAAGGATTGTTCAGCATCACATTGTTTAATTTCCATGACTTTTTGTGGATTTGAGAGTTTCTCCTGGAATTGATTCTAGTTTTATATCATTAGAATAAAGCTAGTGGTCTGAGAAGATACATGGTATCATTTAGATTTTTCTGATTTGCTGCCACTTGTTTTGTGGCCTAAGATGTGATCCGTCCTCCCGTGTGCTGATGAGAGGAGTGTACATTCTGTAGTTTTGGGGTAGAATGTTCTGTAAATGTCTGTTAGGTACATTTTTTCTAGAGTCCCAAGTTAAGTCCAGTGTTTCTTTGTTGGTTTTCTGCTTTGATTGATGAAAAATATTTCTGAGCTTTCTTATGAGAAGTGACTTTGAGAATTGAGTTTGGGTGTGAATTAATCCTTCCCCAGAAGACTGTAAAGGTTCATAATTTTAACGGGTCCTTCAAATCTGGAGGGAGTCAAAGCTAAAGACATTGAGGGATAGCAGGTGTGTTCAGGAATTTGGTTTCTAGAAAGCCTTTTCCCTTTTCCCACATGCAATTACATTTTATATGTTTGACCAACTGCTGGCTGACTGGTCCTCATCTTTTTGGGTATCAAATTTTACTCCTAACAGGTGTAGCCCCACTTAATGCCAGACTGCTAGTTTTCATAATGATGAAAGCTACTTAATTTAGCTTGGATTTCATTCTCGTTTGTAGAGTTCTGGTGCATGTGGTCATTGTGACTCTAATAGCATTACATTCCATGTGATAACCTCCTCTAAGGTTATTTTGGTGAACACTCAGTGCTATACTCTTGCTAGAAAAACTACGTATTGTCTAACTATTGCACAATAAAAATCTGTTAGCGTGAGTTGACTTTCCTGAAATGTTGCATTTCACCCTGTAAACTCATGTTAATCCAGTCTCGTTGGAGAGTGGATGGTTTTTTGAGTTATTATATATCGAATAACATTTCAGTTTTAATTTTTGTTAAAAGTATGTTGTTACTGAAACAACATGAAATTATCGTTAACTCTTTAATTCAAAAGATCTTGTAACGCCTTCTTCTAATATTGTTAATATTTCCTGTTTCCGTACTTACGTAAGAGGATAAGTGGATTTCTACACTTTTTGGTTATATAGAACTTAGACAAAATTTCTGTTTATTACTAATTATTCCTTAAGTCTGCAGAATGGCAAACTCAAGGTAGAGCCTTTCTTTTAAGGTTGCCAATAAGATTCCATTATCAGCTTCTCATCAATGCCTGGGTAAGCAGACACAAAGAAAAGAAGAAACCAGTTTTTAATGATATAAACAGGAGACCATCGTTAGCTCTTAACCTTAGAAAATCAACCCTTAGCTTTGAATAATTAATTAGAATTGTTACTATGGAGAAATTTCAGTTCACATAATTTCTATCCAGGCAGACATTCACCCTCTGCT